TTCGGTTGGTGGAATAATAAAAGTTTATACATTTATACATTAGCCATCGAATTCTCACGTTTATCTATTACGTACATTGTCACTTAGTACTACTATTTTTTTAACAACCAGACGATCCATTTTTTACAAAGACTATCTATTACATTGTCGGTCAGTATTGTATTTTAAATATCTTGTAAACGATAATTTATAGCTAGAAAAAAACGACCAATTTATTCGTAAATTTATCATCGAATCCAAGTGATTGAATCCATATTCTACAAAAAATTCAATATTATTATTGAAGCTTTATGAAGACAGTACACTATGATAGACATTATCAAGTTTTGGTAGTATTTAAAGAGTATACAACAACAACAAAATTGTTTTGACTTTACAACAATTGAGCTTTTAATTGTTAATTGGAAGCTTCAATATATATATATATATATATATATAGATAAATTTTGCCGAAAATTTGTATGCCATCTTTTCTTTTAATTGAGCTTTTAATTGTTATTGATATACAGTTGTGGATTTAATATTTACGTAATTAACAAAATATCAAGACCATCAACATCTAATCGAATTAAAATTAACATGTAATCCCAATTAATGCCTATCACGGAATTTACTAATCTAATTTATTTTATCGTTTTCACTGATTTTTTATATTCGTTTAACAACAAGCGAAGCTACGTTTTCATTTCGGTCACATTTTTAGAATAACTTAACAAAATCTATTAATATCTCTGCCTAATCTTCTATACTTTTGACAATTATCGGCCATCTTCTATCGTAATTATATTTATGTTCTGTCAAAAAGAAAAATACTTTTGTTAGCCTTTAACTCTTTCCACAGTTTTAAGAAATAAATAAATTGTAAGCCCTATTCTAAGCTTGCAAATACTGTTTCTGTTGGTCTAGTTATGGTTTAGCTGAAAATATGGAGATATAAGACAATACTGTTTCTGTTGGTCTAGTTATGGACTTATGGTTTAGTTGAAAACATTAATTATTTAAAAAACATGTTTTTATCGAGGCCATTTAATACTAAACCAGGACGCTTGTCTTGTTTTCGAAGTTACATGAAAATGAAAATACCAGCAACATATATATAATAAAGGGATAATAAATAAAATAAAAACATTGAAGACAGCATGTATAAGAAATGGAATCGTTGAGTTGGATACAGGTAGGAATCCGAATAAATAATTAGGTGTGAAATGTATGAGCAAGATTGAGAAACTTATAATATTTATTATAGTAAATTTATTACTCCTCAGCCAAAAGATGAAGAAATTATTATACTCTTCACTTCTTTTGTAATGTTAATTAAGTTTATCAAATTAAATGTTAACTGGCCTAATAATTTAAAAAACTCCATCTTTTCAGAATTATTTGATGTTTAAGGTTTTTGCACACTGTTTAAGGATTCATTTAATTTTTATTTTTCCTATATTAAAAATATTATTTATAATCATTTAAATATCATTCAGCCAATAATAAGACAATCTGCAGAATATAAAAGGTCAAAAACTATAAAAATTCATTAAGTTTTGCATTGAAAAGTGAAAACATCAAATAATTCTGAACAAAAAAAATCTTCTAAAACATCAAATAATTCTGAACAGAGGGAGTATAATATTAACATTTTTCCGACATAATCCATAAAGTTCATAAACATGGAAGAGATATTGGTTTATCGCTTTCGTACTAGCATAAATAACATATCTATTGCGTACGTGTATTTTAATGCAATTTATTGTAATTTTACACTATTAATTGGATTTTACGAAATAATTGTTTTCATAAATAAATAAACAAGAATTCATAAAAAAAAAAGTTACTTCAACTGTTCAACATATTCAATGTGAAAGTTAATATTTTCAGAAAATATCCATGTTAGATATAAATCAATTATATAAAGGACAACTCGAGTTTTAAAGTCCGTCTTCTGTTCGAATTCATTTTTCTTTCTTAATCGTACGTCTGTTTAAAACTTGACAAAATTAAAGGAATGGGCTGATGAAAAATTGTTTAACGACAAAAGAATATAGTATTAACAAATTGACAAGCTGATGAAACTAAAGGACCAAGTTGCGGCAATATGGGGTCCACCTTCGGACCAATAACATCTATTCCGTACAAATAATATCTATTTATACCTATGTTTGGTTGTTTCATTTTTTGTTAATCATCATTAATCTTACTATAAACTTTACCTATGAGTACTGTTATCTATTTTGTTTCTCTATAAATCGCAAATGTCCGAGGTTTTCGACCTTCTTCTAAAACTAAAAATTACAGTGTTTTTACTCTTTTTTTCATAGAAGAAACTATAAAATATATAACAATGAAATCGTGCTGGTGAAAATGCAACTCATCGATAATTAGCACATGTTATTGTTTTGTATAAATCGTCTATCGTTCTCGAAATCAATTTGGCTTTCAAATACTTAGAATCTTAACAAGAAACATAGATGAGACCAATCTCTCTTACGGAGGCAAATTTTATCAGAGAAGAAAGGTAAGTGAGCAACCACAACAAGTGTCACGTGACACATACTAATTTTTTCTATAGAAAATTCAACCATTCTCACATATTTTTCCTTTTTTTTTTTGAACGTTTTTTCCCCTTTTTTTACCTTGGTCGCATACTCAGTTAGGAACATTTTAATTTATATTAGACAAAATTATTGGGTTGTATTTGGATATTAGGTTGATTGCGATACTCTAGAAGTTTGTGTCGATCTATGGGGCCAAACGTATCTCGACGCTTTGATTTTCACTAAATCGATTACACAGATTGCAAACGACAGTCTAGACAACCGATGGTTAATAACAAATATATTAAAATTTAGAAAATTTAGAAAATATAGAAAATCCTTAAGGCTAAAAACTAATAACGGTTTGACGATTTCCAATAGTTTGATCAGCGCCTACCAAATTTGAAAATAGGTGACAGTGTGACACCAATAACAAGCCACCGGAATCTGAAACTCCGGTCGGAACGGTTCCATTATGTTGCATCATCGAGTTAAATTTTGAGAAATATCTCTTTGATTGTTCAAGAACTAAAAAAAAAACTAAGAAAAGGGAAAAACAAAAGTAATTGTCCTGCTGTCAAGAAACGCCATATTATTATTATTCATCCTCACAAAACACGTACGACCATGCCTCTTCGTGATTTGTCACTGGCCCACTTCCCATCCCAGTGGATCAAATTGAATATAGTATTATAATGATATTAACAAAAAATAAAACAAACAGAATCAGGCAAACAAAATAGATTTTAAATAATATATAAATATCAACATTTTTCTATTGGAGAAGTGAGAACCAATAAAATTTGGATCTCACGATATTTCGCAGTGCCCTAATTGGTTCTTTGCATAAAAACGAAACCTAACTAATGGTAGAATAATACTTTGGTAAAGCAACAAAAATATCAGATAAGATCGTAAGCTATCCACATCACTTATTTATTTCCATAACAGTTACTATAAACACAATAAAATATCTATTGTCCTATCTATTGTCCATAAGAGTAACTAAAAAAACAACAAAAACAGCGAATTCAATTGGATTTATTTTCTAGCAGTACAAATAGTTGTGATGTTGTCGGTCGTTAGTAAAGTATAGATTATTACTTATTAGTATGTATAAACCCTTTGATAAGAAACAGAGAATGGAAAGAAAAAATATCCCAACCCTTTGATCTCTCCTTCGGGGAAGTCTAAAAGCTGTAAAATCCCAACCCTTTGATAAAAAAACAAAAAAGAAAGAAACATAGAATGGAATATTATAGAAAATGGGATGATTACAAAACAAAAAAATAAGAAGAAAACTTGATAGTTTTTCTGATTTTGGAATATATTGAGTGCTGAGTGCATACACGGACAATAATCATGATAGCAATACAAAAAAAATCTATAAAAGGAAAATTAGAATAAGAATGAAAAAAGAAAGAAAAAGCGGATAATGAAAATATCTAAAAATAACGAAGTGGTAGTGAATTAAAAATTTTTCTTTGCTGAAATTTTATCATATAGATTCATGTCATTGATTAACTTTTATTAAGTGTGTAATTATTCAATCATTCTCATTTGATGATATATTGTTTTATATCCATAAAAATCATGTGAATAGATTGTTCAGAAGTTACATTTATCCTGAGATTAGTCAATGGTAAAGATTTAGTTAATCTTCTAGTTATAAAAAAACATCTAGAAGTGTATGATAATAATAAATTAAAATCACAAGACAGAATAGAGAAGATTGACTAAATAGCTATTTAATTATATATTTTTAAAAAACCATCATTTACGTTTAGCACCAATCAATATGATCTTAGCATGTTAATCAAATCAAATAATTTGTTAATTCCTCTTACAGTTTTTCTGTATAACCATCAAAACTCAGGGGGGATGAACTTGAGTATGTAAACTGATGTCAATCTCTCACGTGGACCCTTTATCCAATCCTGGTCCACGACTGGGACCCACTTCCCCATGCACACAGCCCACAACATATTCATTTATATATTTGTTCATATACTCAAAAATACTTTTCTATACAATTAATATAAAACGTATAATATTCCAAAGGATTGTTTGTATCATGTGTTTTTGTATATTTAACAGTGCATAGCCATGAACTGACCTAATATAGTAACCAAATTAAATGCTATTTTTTTTTGGGGAAGTTTTTTAGCTATTTTCGATATGTTTCCACGAAGCTTCCCTTTGGGTTTTTAAGTTGACCCATACACGGTGTATGATACACCCACATCATAAAACAGAGAGCCATACACACACCCATATTACTTCCCATACGCCTTCCCATATACTATAATTACTCCCCTGAAACACGCATTCTACAGATATAATATAGATTTTCTATGTGTTACCCAAATAAAAAGTGAAAATAAAATAATAATATCAAAAGTGACACTTGTTGTTTCTTATTTCCATCCCTACACTCTCTCCTTCTTTCTATATATATATATACACACGCATACATATACACACACAACAACAGACTCTCTCTGAAAATACATTCCTGATTTCTCCGTTGTTTCAAAATTCGAATCAAAGAAATTTTTCAAAAAAAATCATTTAAAAAAAGAATTCAAATTAATGGAAGTGAGCAGCGTAGACGAGAGTACGACGAGTACAGGCTCGATTTGTGAAACTCCGGCGAAGAAATCGTCGGTAAATTTGTACAGGATGGGAAGCGGATCTAGCGTGGTGCTAGATTCAGAGAACGGCGTGGAGGCGGAATCGAGGAAGTTACCGTCGTCAAAGTACAAAGGCGTCGTTCCTCAGCCGAACGGAAGGTGGGGAGCTCAGATTTACGAGAAGCACCAGCGCGTGTGGCTCGGGACTTTCAACGAGGAAGACGAGGCGGCGCGTGCTTACGACGTGGCGGTTCATCGATTCCGCGGCCGAGACGCCGTAACGAACTTCAAAGACGCGAGGCTCGACGACGGAGAGATCGATTTTTTGAATTCGCATTCGAAATCTGAGATCGTCGATATGCTGAGGAAGCATACGTATAAGGAGGAGCTCGAGCAGAGTAAACGGCGTCGTAATGGTAACGGAAACACGGTTAGGACGTCGATGACGGCGGCGTTAGATAACGATGACGGCGTTTCGACGATGGAGTTCAGATCGGCGGAGCCTCTGTTCGAGAAAGCGGTTACGCCAAGCGACGTTGGGAAGCTAAACCGACTTGTGATACCGAAACATCACGCGGAGAAACATTTTCCGTTGCCGTCAAGTAACGTCTCCGTTAAAGGAGTGCTGTTGAACTTCGAGGACGTGACGGGGAAAGTGTGGAGGTTCCGTTACTCGTATTGGAACAGTAGTCAAAGCTATGTGTTGACCAAAGGTTGGAGCCGGTTCGTTAAGGAGAAGAATCTACGTGCTGGTGATGTGGTTAGTTTCAGCAGATCCGACGGTCAGGATCAACAGCTATACATTGGGTGGAAATCGAGATCCGGATCGGATTCGGAAACGGGTCGGGTTTTGAGATTGTTCGGAGTTAACATTTCACCGGAGAGTTCGAGAAACGACGTCGTAGGGAGCAAGAGAGTGAACGATACTGAGATGTTATCGTTGGTGTGTAGTAAGAAGCAACGCATCTTTCACGCCTCGTAACAACTCTCCTTTTTTTGCTTCGATATATATATATTTATATTTTTTTTTTTATTCCACTTTCGATTTTCTTTTTCAGTTGTATCAGTTTCTTCATATTACCAAAGGTTCATGAGTTGTTTTTGTTGTAATGATGAACTGTATATTTTATTTATAGGATAGAAAGGTTATGTGGATGCCTCCAGAGTTTTAATAGCATGGGAATGTTTTTACCAAATCTCACCTTGTTTATTCTCATTTCATGTGTATACTACTTATGGTGTTGGCCTGTTGGGTGATAATCATATGAAGGATACTATGAATGATATAATAAAACCAATGTCTAAACAAAGAGTCGAGTAGTAATTAAGAAACTAGTGTCGTATTGATATATGCCAAGATTTGAGTTGTTGTTAGTTTCCAATAAATGTTTTTTTTTTTTTTTTCTTACAACTGCAACATAACACCAATCCACACAACAGAAGAAATATACAATTTCAGACTCAATGCACACATCTCGTAATTGCTATACTGATTCTTTGAAGCTTCAAATAAATGGTTTGGTAGAAATATTTAAAACATGCATTTTTAGATATATATTTTTAAAATAACAGAAAATAATAATATGAAATGTCAGTTTAAAGAATTTTATAAAACAACCCAACGACATAAACTGTCTTGAAAAAACACTAGAAATACAATGTTAATGTTGAAATATGATCTAAGAAGTATTGGCGCTTAGATCTCCGTGGCGTTTCCATAATGCCACCCAAACTAAGTGTAACATTGTAATATTTATGTAAATTTTGATGTAAAAAATAATTTTAGTAATTAATATTGATTTCAATGAGAAATTTTCTTTATAATGTGAAATTTTATTCATTTTTTTACTGTTTTAATTAACTTCATGCAAATATTACTTTCATAAATTCCCTATGGGCCTAAGTAGCACATATTGGATCCATCATAGACGAACGGGCTTAGTCCAAAAGTAAGCTGCTCGGTTAGATATTAAGAATTTTTTTATTTATTTCTCAAAGAAACATTAAAATTTATCGATTCGTTTGCAAATTTAATTTCTTCGGGGCATTACCAGTGAAGTTGCGAAAATGGCGTCTACGGCTTTTCGATCCAGTTCATCGTCGTCTTTGCATCTCTGTTCTTCCTTTAACGGCCAGTACTTAGCGCCGTCGAGGTGCTTTATCGGAGCTCCGTTCACTTCCTATTCTTCTTTATCGCTCTCCGGTTAGTCATTTACTTGTCACTGTTTATTGGTTTCACTCTGTTGGTTTCGTTATAGCTTCGTGTTAAGTTCCGAGAAGATTAAAGAAATTGTTAGTTATCTGAATTGATAATTTCAGCTTTCTCCTCAAAGCGATTAAAACTTCTCCGTTGTTGTTTTAATTTAAAACGTTGATGATTGTGAAGTTTATCTTCTCTTCTGCAGGTAAGAAGCAATTATGTCCTCCGAGAAAATTCCACGTTTCTGCCAAGAAAGTTTCTGGGTTAGAGGAGGCCATTAGAATCAGAAGGTACTCAAGTTTGTTCAAATTTGTCATTGAAGAAATTGCAAAAATCTTGATTAATTGCTAAGGATGATGAAAGTCTTCATATCTTTTTTTGAGACCAATAGATTTATATCTGTGTTTCTAGGTTGAGAGAACTTGAAGCTACTTCAAAAGTGAGGAGAAATCCACCATTAAGAAGAGGAAGAGTATCGCCTCGTCTTCTTGTGCCTGATCACATACCAAGGCCTCCATATGTTGAGTCTGGCGTGTTACCAGATATTTCGAGTGAATTTCAGATCCCTGGCCCTGAAGGCATTGTCAAAATGAAAGCTGCTTGCGAGCTCGCTGCTCGTGTTTTAAACTTTGCAGGAACTTTGGTTAAAGTAAGATTTTCTTAGGCTCTCCATATGGATCTCTTGTTTCTTTATATATGTCCTGAGTAGTTGTTATTATGTGGTTATGGTTTTGTGCAGCCATCTGTTACGACCAATGAAATCGACAAGGCGGTGCACGATATGATTGTTGAAGCTGGTGCTTATCCTTCACCTCTTGGATATGGTGGATTTCCTAAAAGTGTATGTACATCAGTTAACGAGTGTATGTGTCACGGAATACCAGATTCTCGCCAGCTACAGGTATCGAAGTGTGCTTTTTCACTGCTTTAGGCCGAAGAGGTTTTGAATTGAATTCGAATGTTTATCACTAACTATAACTTCTTATTGTAGAGTGGGGATATAATAAACATCGATGTCACGGTTTACTTGGATGTAAGTCTTTAGGCTTGTGCAGGCATTTTTACTTCCACTGTATTTGATTTGTATGCTTAAGGATCAATTAGCCCCGGTCACTACATAAAACTTGAAACATCGAATAATAAGTTTGAAACTTCAACAGGGTTACCATGGAGATACATCAAAAACTTTCTTCTGTGGAGAAGTCGACGAAGGTTTTAAACGACTTGTGAAGGTAGTTTTCTTCTTTCTTACTGTGTTTTCGTCTCTGCAAGTTCACAAAAATGGACTCTGTTTAGTGTGGTAATTGTTGTTGGATTATTGTACTGTAAGGTTACGGAAGAATGCTTGGAGAAAGGCATAGCCGTATGTAAAGATGGAGCAAGCTTCAAGAAAATCGGGAAGAGAATAAGGTAATAACCAAACCCAGTCTTGATGCAATATAACCGTGTGCAGATTCAGGTCTTATTTGAGGAAATATTAAACCATACTGCTAAAATTTGAAACAGTGAGCATGCGGAGAAATATGGCTACAACGTTGTGGAGCGTTTTGTTGGGCATGGTGTCGGACCAGTATTCCATTCCGAACCCCTTATATATCATTACCGTGAGTAATATCATTCTTAGCATATAAATCTCTCTTTTGCTTTAGGAAATACGATTCAGTTTTGTTTTCCGTTATGGAGCATGTAACAATTAACCTGGAAACATCAATGAAAAACAATACTTGGATCTGTAAGTGCGTTAGTAATTCGTCTTTGGTGGCTCACTTTCAAATCCAAAATTTGTAGGAAATGATGAGCCTGGGCATATGGTTGAGGGACAAACCTTCACAATCGGTTAGCCATTTTTCTTTCCCTCTTCCATGTCATGGTTTTCACTTGGTTATTATGATAACTTTGTAATAACAAGTTGATGGATGCAATTACTTTGCAGAACCGATTCTGACGATTGGAACCACGGAATGTGTAACATGGCCAGACAACTGGACTACTCTAACAGCTGATGGTGGTGTAGCAGCACAGTTTGAGCATACTATTCTAATTACTAGAACTGGTTCAGAGATTCTTACCAAATGCTGAAACTATTTACAGTAGTTTTGATCATTTCTGTTTCCCTATTTGTCAAATGCTGATTCTTCACTCTTCATTTCAGCTTTATATATGATTCTTTTTGCTCAATTTTGCTCTTCGTTCCTAATTTTTGAAAAAATACATTTGCCACACCGATCATTGAAAACATACTATCAGTGATTAAATTTGAGATTTCATGTAACCAATGCAGAGACAATTTTAGCCAAAGCAAAGCCAATAAATGATCAAAGCCGAGGGGAAGAGTCTGCTTTGAATATTTTGAAAGCCCCAAGCGAATCTATAGGTTTTGTTATGTAATGCCACAATTTCTTTTTATTCGGTTTGCGAAATTGAAAAACATTTTAATAATCAATGAAAGTCTATAGGTTTTGTTATCTAATGTCACAATTTCTTCTTATTCGTTTTGCGAAATTGAAAAACATTTCAATAATCAATAAAAATAATTTAGTCAACAGTGTTCCTTACTTGAAAAAAAAAATATATATATATACACACACACACAAAGCATATGCATCAAAGGTAAATGATGAATTCAAGTGTCGAAGTTGATGACGCTCTCACTCTGGTCCATAAACATCAGGTCAACAGCTATCGTAGCTTTGTCCATACTAAACCAGTGGTCTGGTATACCTTTGATTTCAATCTTTCTCATATCATTGCTTTGCACATCATAAGAGAGAATGTGACAGTAAGAAAGGAAATTCCGTGGTATCAAGAGAACCTTGCCATTTTGAGCTGTACCTTTTACCTTGAATCTGATGCTATTGACCAAATGCAGCTGACAAGGCTTCAAAACAAGAGTCTTGCACGACCATTTCTTGCTACGGGCATCTTCCAGAGTCCATAAAGCCACCACACCCACAAATTTATACGGATCAATGTAAGCCATGTAATATATGACCCCATCGATACACAGTCCTCCTTTGAGAAGCACGTGAGGACAAAAGTCCGGTGGAGTTGGAGCAGCCTTTTTCCAGACACCTCCTCCATCTTTTTAGGACTAAGACCCAATTCTCTGAACTTATCACTTGAAAATCTTCTTCTGAGAATATGCAAATACAGGCGACCACTTTGAACTGGTCGTTAGCAGGGTCGTATCCGAAATAGTATTGGTCCATCAGTACTTCTCCTGGAGGTACGATGATGTGGTTGGATTTGAGGCCTGGTAAGGTCACAAGTTTTCTTGTAGCAGGGTTATAGATCCGGGGCTTTTTCCAATAGGTGAAGCATATGAAGCCACGAAGATTTTGCAAGATGTAACCTCCCCTCTTAGGGACAGTCAGGTCGTGGTCCACTACAAAGGAAGACGGGTTAGGACTAGCGTCTAGAGGAGCGAGTGAGAGTGTTTCAGAGATATATCTGAAGTCGTTTTTATCCCATAAACATATGTAAAGACGAGGAGATGGGACCGTAAGGAAACGGTTGCTAAAATATCGTGAGCTGATGACCGATGACCAGAGCTTCGAGACGCACTTGAATCTCATCAGGGATTTCGCTGGCAATCTCGTGAGAATCTCTTTACCTTATTTGTTGTTGACTTGTTGTTGTTGTTGTTTTGGTTGTTTGGTTGAAATAATCTCTTTAAATAGACCTGCTTGGTATCTTATTTCGAAATTGTTTTTCTTGTAGTCAAATGCGTTTTATGCTACGATATAGTTTTGATAGGTTTTATTTCTATCAGAGCAGAACCCAATTTAGTTGCAAGCCGAGCTTATATTAATTGAATGTAGCTCATCTAACTGGTGTAGGATATACAACAATCCATTTGTCGGTTTGCTTAATTTAACATAATTATTTGTTATCTGATTTTGCTAAGCTTTTGATCGCATTTTCCACATGGTGCATTCCCTTTTCAGACCTTGTAAATTAGACCATAATAATCTCTCTCTCTCTCTGATCTCAAGATTAACTTATAGCGAATAAAAGAAAGAAAAAGATTAAGTTGATTGATATTCTAAAATGTTCCACATGTTGGGTCAAAGTCTTTTCTTTATATTTATAAGTCGTTCTTCGACCAACTCTCATTTAATATAAATAAGTCCAGTTTTTTCCCATTTCACTATAATCATACTTAGAGCATACGATCAAGAAAGATTTATCACACAGTTTTTGAGAAAAAAAAATTTAATACCGAAGAAACAGTATCATTCCAACGAATTTGAAAAGACAGTATCATCCTGAGCATCTTGATTAGTCGAAAATTATAATTTTCGAATTAAAAAAAAAACTAATATAAAAAAAAATTATTATATTCTGATGAACCCTCTCGTATTCCTTAGAAATTATGTACTCTTATTATTATATGAGCGTCACGACAAAAAAATACTTATTATATGCGAGTTTTTTTCTTTGGCTTTTTGTGTTTAATTTTCTAGTTGAAGTTGAAATTCACTTTCCCAGATTTACGCACATGCCTCGTCATCATTATTCATCACGATCAAAATGCACAGTACAAAAAAAATCTATTAGAAAGAAGCTCGTTTCTATCTCTTCATAACTTCAAATAAACACAAAAGCAGTTTCTTCTTTGTATCAGTAGTTTATTACAATTATTTAAACAGGCAAGTCTATGATCATGGCTTCTTCTGCTGCTGCTGCATCGATCTCTATGATAACTCTAAGGAACCTCTCTCGCAATCATCAATCTCACCAGACCCCTCTTTTGGGTTTCTCCAGATCCTTCCATAACCTAAGGATCCCATCTAACGGTCCAGATTTCTTAGCACGATCAAGAAGATCCACCACCTCTTACACTCGAGGTTTCTTCAGAACCTTGTGCAGCAGCAGCACCGAAAACTCCAGACCAAGTAAGTTAAAAAAAAAAAAAACAGATTATGATGATAGAATAATTGAGAAAGAACAAAAATTAGGATCTGAAAAAAATGACCTTTTATGTTCACGATCAAGTACCCACTTCAATTTATTTGATCTTTGCTTCACATTTTAAGTACCCATTTCATTAATTGGTGTATTAGAATCAAATTGGAATCAAAATTGGTTTTTAAAAATAGACCTTTATGCTCACCAAGTACCGATTTCATGAATTGGTATAGTATTTGGTGTAAAAATCTGATCTTTGCCTCCCATATTTGGTGTAAAAATTTGACCTTTGCCTCACATATATGATATCAAAATTGGTGTACCCATTTCATGAATTGAGAAAAAAATTAGAGTAATTAACCTTTATCCTCCAAATCAAGTGAGCATTCAAATCAGGTAACCATTTCTTTTTCTTTTTTTGTTAAAGCTTGAAGTACCCATTTCATAAAATCGATTTGTACTTTGTGAAAATTTTAGCGAAAATCCAAGAACTCAACGTGTACGAGTTCAACGAAGGCGATCGAAACAGCCCGGCGGTTCTAAAACTGGGCAAAAATCCACAGCAGCTTTCTCGTTCCTTTCACAAACAAACTCTACACCGGCGATCTCAAGAAACGCGTCGGAATCACCGCGGGACTCTGCGTTTTGATCCAACACGTTCCAGAGAAGAAAGGTGATCGCTTTGAAGCTTCTTACAGCTTCTACTTCGGCGATTACGGTCACATTTCCGTTCAGGGACCGTATCTGACTTACGAGGACACGTTTCTCGCAATCACCGGAGGCTCCGGCGTCTTCGAAGGAGCGTACGGACAGGTCAAGCTTCGTCAGCTCGTGTATCCGACGAAGCTGTTCTACACTTTTTACTTGAAAGGTGTTGCCGCTGATTTGCCGGTGGAGCTCACCGGAAAACCTGTTGAGCCGTCGAAAGATGTGAAGCCGGCGGCAGAAGCTCAGGCGGCTCAGCCCGGCGCCACAATTCAAAACTTTACTGATTAAAATCACTCTGTGTGTGTCTCTCTCTCTGTTTATTTCTTTTGAATTTTGATACTTTTGATAAGTCGTTTGATTGTGAGACATTTGAATGGGCCCTAATTTTGGGGCCTTTGTTAATGAGCCCTACTGTTGGGCCTTTGTTGATGTGCATTTGAGAGCTGTTTTTCGTTAACCTAGTCTATCTGAATATAACGTGAACTCCACCTCCCGTGATTCTACATTTCTACTATTAAATTGTACTCGCCATTTTCGAGCTCAAACTCAGTATGTTCTGAATTTTTTAATATTACAGTATGTTCTGAATTGTCTATAAAAATATATTTATTGATAAATTCGGTTTTTACACTTTTGTTTTTAAGTTTCTAAACTAAGCGTTCATAACAGTAAAGAGAGTGTTTGTCGAAAATATGTAAAGCCCCCAAACCAAGTGGTCTTAACTCGAGTTTTCTGAAGAGAAAATGAATACATTGATGTTTTAGGTTCTTAAGGCAAGTGATAAATTGTGTCAGGCTGAGAGATATTTGTTAACTTTAAACAGGATTTTTATGAGTTTTTTTTTGAGATTTTAGCCAAAACATAAAGTTTCGTGTAGAGCCTGACTTCTTAAAACTCTTGGTGTTTTATTACTTTATGCTTTTTTTCATCACATACGAGAGCTAAGAGGGGTAAAAGTAAAACACATCTATAACCCTTTTTTTATTGAAATCAAAGCATATTGATCAGAATCATTGGATGTGTGTGTGTGTTTTTAAAATAATTTGCCTAGGTATTGAGCTTTTTAGTGTGTATTGACGTATTGTAGAGCCGCTCCTCGTAAATCTAATGTGACCAGCTGGACATAGCGCGTGAACTCCACCTCCCATGGATTTTATAGATAAAACTTTCTATATGTGGAAGTTTGGCTAGTCAGGCCCGTGGTCATTTTCGAGCTCATCAAAGAATCAACACTCATAAATCGAATATTTTTGTTTAAAAAAAAAAAAAAAACTTTTTCACCGATCTGAACTGGTTATTACATAGTAACACATCTGATATTCACCTTTCGGAAAAATCAACTTTGTAGCAAAATGAAAAATCTATTTGCAACATTTAAGGACTTGATTTTTATCACCAAAATAAAAAGAAAGATCTAAGGACTTGGCTAGACGAAATATTGATCTTTTCCTTTCTAATTAAAAATTACAATATATATTTTATTTACTTCTATAGTATCCACAGACTTTAGTCATAAACTTAACACACTTATGAATGAAGTCATATTAAGTGGAGTATCAGGCCAACACTCCTTCAATATCTATCAGATTACAATTTCCAAAACGACATTGAATACTCCGTAGTCCGTACCTTTTATTTTAGGACCAATTTATTCATAGTGTGAAACCGAAAAAAAATTCTTGAAATTTCATTTATATTCCATATACATGACAAGTAGTCTGACACTTTGACTAGCTCACGTATATTTTTTGATATAACAGTGTTTGTAAAAATATAATCACACACTTGTATTTGATTCGACAGATAAATAATTAGATAAAATGAAATAAAATGAGAGGGGGAGAGAGAGACAGAGAAACTGAAGTAACCTAAGAGTTGCGAAATCTCTCTCTCCAAGTGTAACATTGACAAATGTGTGTAACGTTAAACATCACTACATAAAGTGACAACAGACAGTTTCTGTGTTTGGATAAATCGAACTGCCACTTTCGACGATTTAATTACCATTATATTTTACCTCCATTATTTATCACTAGAGATGCGCTCTTTAATACAGTATTCAGTATTTTCCTTCTTAAAAAAAAAAAAATGTACATCTCTTTAACAAAAAAATATTCAAAAATTATACATCTCATTTCACAAATCATCGTTTCTTTCTGTCTACTCACAAATCATCGTTTTCTATCCCAACAACGCTTAATCCTTTTTTTTTTGGCTGGCAACGGACGTTTAACTACTTCTGCAATCGGAATTCCAATTTAGAACCACACTAAAATAAATAAATAAAAATTCTAAGATTTTGGGGGTTGCACATACCCATTTTATGTAGATATATTGGTTAAGATTAATTGTAGGTTGAAGCAAAAATTGTACTTAATCAAAATTATAGTCAGTGTGTGAATTCCAACATGCTTAAAACTTAAATATATATATATATATATATATATATAGTTAAAGATGATCCTTGTTAGAACTTCAAGCTTATTGTTTTAGACCATAGCTTTAATATCGTTAGACACATACTTTCATTTACATTACAGATGTAGGTTCAAAAGATTACATGCATGATCAGTCGGACATTGATCTGTGATTACTGATCTCGCTTACAAAATGCATACTCGTTAAACTATATATACACAACCAATTGGTTTATTTTGGTAAGAAAAGTTCATTACTAAAAAGGCAGAAATTGTTTGGAGTTATAACAAGGTTAGAAGCAGTTATGTAATCCATACCCACTACATATATTTCCGGAACTCTTACTAAAAAAGTACTTTTAAATTCACTAACGTGACAAACAGGTAAATGACATGTACCTCACTTATAAAAACCCTAATAATACCCATCGAGCATAAAAATGGCCATTTAATTAGTAATTGTCATTAGAAATGACCATAACGACGAAAATGATCATATCTAATCCCATAATTCTTATCTCCACGACCATTTTCTCCATTACCATCTTCTTCTTCTCCATCATCATCTCGTTCATCTTCTGCCTCTTCTTCCTCCATATCATCATCATCATCATCATCATCATCATCATCTTCATCTCCGTCTCCAATGGCTAGAACACGATCACCCACAGTGTGAGCAGCATGGCCATCACCAAAAGCCCTAACGTGATCTTTAAGAGACCTTTTATGCTTAAAATCCGACCCGCAAACACAAAACCACAGCTTCCCACAATTCTTCTCGTGCGTTCTCCAATCGCCTCTTACCGCAAACATTTTCTCGCACTTTTTGCGGCAACGGAAAGGTTTAGCTCCGTGCTTCCGCTTGTAATGCGTTTGAAGCGTTCTAAAGTCTTTAAGAGGCTTTGATCTTGGATGATCTATGTTGTTCTTACAACCTTCCGCACAACAGTAACATGGCAGCCTTAGTATTGAAGATGACGATTTCGTCCCTCGCAGTGACTCTGGACCCTTTCGGTATTGCGAGCCATGACCCCACATATGCATCTACAAATGTTTAAAACAGTATACAAAAGATGTAATTCAAATAAAACACTTAATTAGATATCTCATTTTTGACGTTAAATTGACTACACTTTATTTTAAACGTGATCGCAGAGAATATATTCTATTGACGAAATATTTTTCACAAGATGAACATAACGTATATAGATAGACTATAATAGTACTTATGCAGATATTAATAACAAAGAAAAATTCCGATTAAAACCACCCAAAAAACGGAAAAGATGATAGGTTGCGACTTAATTCAATAATTGTTTTAGCGATTTAATTCAAATATACTGTTCTATATATAACGTTACATATCAGCTTGCAACACATATAAATCATAGTATAACGTGGAAATGAAGGGAAAATATTATAGATATTGAAAGTTAGATCAAGAAAACATCCTGTAATGAACTAATGATGCTAAATCAGTTTACAATATGAATGTATTGACATTAAAACAGGTTATAATATCAACAGTTAATGAAATTCAAACCTGCATGTTGTTGAAGCGATTGAAAGTTTTGTTACAGACAGAACAAGAGAACTGAGTGGGACCGACAAGGATCTGAGAAAGCGAAGGGATCCAATACTGTCCCTGCCGCGCCGTCAAACCCTCTTGGTTACTCCCGCCGGTAGTGGTTTCTTTGTCGGAAACCGGAGGTCCGATATGAAGAGCAACGGTGACGTCATTAGGGTTTGTTAATGGGAGATTATCAAACTCGTGATGATCGATTGGATGATTAGAAGAAGCAGGTTTAGTGTTGGTGGGTTTGTGATGGTTAGGGTATTGTTGGCCAGGAAGTCCAAGGCTGAGGACGACGGAGTCTTCGTCGCCGGAGATGCAATATAGGTTACTATTATACATTGAGGAGAGAGAAAGAAAGATAAAAGAGAGAGAGAGAGATGGTGTTTGAGGAAATGGTGGAGAAAGACAATGGAGGCTGGACGAATTGGTAACTAATAAATGATTCTTTTATTTTGTACTTTGCTTTCGCTTTTTTCCTCCTCGTAATTTACGTGTTACGGTTTACAAACCCATGTTTGGTTTCAATTTCCAAATACCATCTATTCACTTACAAAAAAATTGTACACTTGATTTTAGTTGCAGTGATTTCTACATTTTTTAAAAAGAAAAATTGGATATAAAATAGATATGAATAGATATAAAATATATTTTTTTTTCTCCCAAACTGAATTTAATATTAGACTAATAAAATATAAATTAAAATTTTGGAATTCTTTTGTTAAACAAAAATAATAGTAACCTTTAATCTAATATTTTGAGTGATATAGATAAGAATAAAACTTCTTTATAAAATTTTCCGTTAAACAATCAAATTATATTTTTCTTATTAATTATATACTATATATATATATGTGTTGGCATAGATATTTAACTTACGAAAAAAAGTTATATGTTAAAAAATTGATGTGGGTACGTAACTGGGTATCTCTAATTATTAGCAAAGAATGTACTATTTACTTGGAACTCGCTCTCCTTTCTAGGATCTCAAAACCATTCTTCGTTTCACGACTTCTCTCTTTCAATTTCTCAAAATATATTTATTATATCAATTTGTATAATTTGTGTCATCATTTACTCTCCTCACAATTCACCTTCACAAACCAAAAGAAAAGGTGAGAGTACACTCTGATACAAAAGAAAAGCAATAGACATAGAGAAACGTGGCGTTAACTGTAGATGCGAAAGCTTCTCTCTCTCTCCACTTTCATCATCTGAGTTCTGAACCAACTTACTGAGATAGTGATAGTCTCAGAGTGATGATGCTATTATTAAAGATCCCATTTTTTTAATAAATCTATACTGCCAAAAGTTACCCCTAATCTATTCCCAAACTTTTTACTTTAGTCTAAAATCTAAGGAAAGTGGGAAATTTTTGCTTATTTGCTTGTTAATGGAATTGGAATGTAAAGTTGGACGAAAAGTGAACATTTTGCTTTGCTTCAATGTTACATTTAATGCTGAAGAGTGAAGACATATGATATTAGGTGTTCTCTCTTTGAAAGAGGTTTCCGGTTATGAATCTAAAGTAAATAATGAAAATATCATATTATATACTAATTTGTTGTGAAAACATGATTTTTTTTTTTGAAAAAACCAATATTTGAAAATTTTGTAATATTTTTCTTTTTTCCATTTGGGTTTATATGTTAGTGTTAGCTAGGGTTTTTGTTGTTTGAGTAGTGTCATCTCTACAATACATTTTTTTGGGGTCGAACTCTACACAATACATTTTAAAAACTGTTTTATCTCATAAACTTTCCAAGAGAATATACTAGTTTCACTGTTAAAATTAAATTGATATCTTATGGCTAGTAACAAAGATAAAGAAGAGTTCATTAGCATGTCCGATCTGAAAACATTCAACAAACTTTCCTATATATCAACGAAGAACGTCTGATTTTTATGCAAATTTCGACCGGATTGTATACCCGTCGATCGTTAATTAGACAAAAAAAAGAAACCTTGTTTTAAGTTTTATGCTTATAAATTAAACTATTAGATTGATTGCAATCACTTTCAAAACCAAACTAGTTCTTTGCTGCTCCCACATGAATCAGTATAATTATTAGATCAATATGTATTTGTTGGCTGTTGGTAACTGTTACAAAAAGAATCTTCAAGCCTTGAGTATTGCTTTATAAATAGTCCACGAGGCTTTGAACCGAGGTACTTTCTATATTGATTAGACATGCCAAAAAAAACCTTAAAACAATGTCGTAGAGAGAGAAAAATAAGTTAGCGTAGAATCATACAAACATATATTATATGAAATCTTGGTCCGATCAAAGTTTTTTCATAGTTTTGGTTGATTGAAGCAGTTAGATTCTGATACTTCATAGAATCCGAAAAAGAAGAGCACAAAATAGTACGACTGAAACTAAACTGTAGCTCCCTCATCTCCTATGTCTCTCTCTGCTCTGTCACATTGTATTTATTATTAATTGTTTTTTTTTTGTCTTTTACTATATTTTTTGTCACAGGTTTTTTTTCTTGTATTTAAATGCAAAACTGTGGAATTGAGAAAATAAAAGTTATTTGTCAAAGTTTCCTTTTCTTTCGTCTTGTTGTAACATTAATTTATAACTCACAACTCTTCTTCCCCTAATCCCAACATTTTCTTACTCATTCCACTCTTTTTTGGGCCTAGCAATCTATTCCACGTGTCATAATAAAATGAGTGCATAAATGCATAATGTAGTGTAATTTTTCTCTGATACTCGACTGATAAAATAAACTGCAAGGTGACGTTTCTGAAAATACTTACAACAATTTGTTTGGATTTTTTTTTTGTTTTTTACATGTCCTGAAACTTTGGAGAAAAAGTAGTATAATGATCATGAAACATATATTTTTTTATAATACAATTAAAAACATAACTAGAATATATTAATTATAATACAATTAAGCAACAAGTTTAAACTATAGACTATGACTCAATAAAAGTAAATTAACATAGAAAATTGAATTCATTATGAGATCAAATGAAACGCGCTAAACATTTTTAGGGGTCAATAATAATTTTTTTGACCAAATCAGCCACAATCACGTTGATATTAGAGTTTCAATTCCCTAATTTTATCAGGTGTCATCTGAATCCTCCTTATGTCCGCCACCGGATACATGGATGTGCCAACTCATTTCATAATTTCCGATCTTTTCAAAGACAAATTGACCCAATATCCCCGAAATCAAGCTTATCATCGACACAATATTTATATCGTTAAAGGTCACAGCTAAATCGTTCTCGTTTTTAATGATTTTTTGTGATTTTTTTGTATGTTAAATTTATAAACATTAAAAGTGATATTTTTACTATGTTCGAACCAACGGGGCTACGGGAGTAACGTTTTTTTGGAAATATATTTATGGTATACCTTTCAGAAAGTAATTTTCAGTCAATGTCTTTTTAAATCATAAATTCATAGGTATTTATTTGTATTATTGAAGATCATTATTGGCGATGATAATAAATTTCTTACAACCATTAGATAAACCAAATATGTATTGTCGTCCTAGATTTTACTATTTTAATTATTACCAAAACATGCGTACAAATTACTAACTAGACCTTCATTTGCTATATAGTACGAAGTCATAGCTCGTACAATTAAGCATTCCATGCATTAAAAAAGGCATGCATCAAGTTCAAACCATTACTAGATTTTCAATTCCATACTTTTCATGTAAACGATGCTCAAAATCGCATTTATTAGGAGTGTAATTTAAATCTAACTAGTGTCCATTGCGCTAAAGTCCGACTAATTTTGATAGTCCAGAGAGCATTATAAATTAATTAGTAGTTGTAATTATTAGTTTATATCGGTGAATGATTACCACTCGGTGTAGAAGGCCCGTTCAAATCGGTAAAAAGAGAAACAGTTTATGAGTGAGTTGCTTGTTTAGGTGTGCTGCCAATGCTTATTAAACGTCTTTAAACATCAAATTTTAGAATGAGTTTTTTTTTTCAAATTTATATGTACGTTGGGATTGATTTTGACAAAATTCTCAAAACACAATTAATTTCTTGTTTCTTTCAAAATGGCAACATTTCGGGTCTCATCTTCATTGATTGTTGGATTATTTCTTAAAACGTCACTTGCTGAAGGGAGTATATATATATATCATCTAAAATGATCCAGGAATCATTTACATCATTTGATTATTTAAGCGCGAAATCACCGTCCAACAATATCTAACGTTTTTTAGATATTGGCGACCACTTTGCTTTAGATATTGATTGTGAAAGGCATTGGCATACCATTATCTTGAAAAGTTGGAATGAACCATGAGGATCTTTGATAATACAGTCCAACACGTTATGTTTTTCATGTTTTACTTGGCAATAATAAGAATTGATCAATATATATTACCGGTCAAATCTCAAAGATATTGACACATAAAAGAGTATAAATTTATCCACGCTAATTATAATACGGCTACGGATGATTGGATAGAACGAATTCAACAAAGTCAAGATTCTGTGACATTCCAATTTTTATAGATTTATGAATCCTAATGGATAAAGGGGACCTTATATTTTTGCGGATAGAAGGAGAAAAAAAAACTTAAATGAGGTTATCTTATTGTACAGCCTTTTTTCTTCTCCCATGTTTTGGCTTCTTCGTGAAGAGACATTTGGCTTTTGAGGTTAAAGTCATTTATTACTTATATCAAGCAGTATTAATAAGTACTCTCTCTTTTAATACTAATAAAGAGTATCACTTTGACATATTTAACACATATTAAAAAAATTAATAAAAATTATATTTTACCCCATATTAATATATTAAACAAAATGTCTCTTTTTAATTAACACGTTATAACGATAAGGTTAAAAATAGATTTTAATAAAAAAAATTTCATTAAAAACACAAAATGACATTTTTTATAAACTAAAACAAAATTCTAAAATGACAATTTTTTGTGAAATTGATAAAATATCAAGTATCAACTATAGCCTATGCAAATTACCATGTTTTTAATCTGGAAGCAACAAAACACGAGGATGCGCGCTGCTTGGAATAAAGATCAACTCATGTGTAGTCCATTGATTTTCCTATCCAGACTTTTAACCTCTATGTCTGTGATTCCTATTTCACCCTCTTAATTAAAATGTATTAAAGAGACTACAGTTAATCACAAATTGCATAAGTCATAAATCTTGTTTTCTTTCCTTTTTCTTGACATAAAAGCTTGTCAGCATTTACGTAAGGCAATATCAACGCACGCGCAAAGACGAAAGTTTTAATGTTATCTCTTAATGTAACATTAAGAGTTCATAACTCACAACCCACATATTTTAGAGTATCATTAACGTCGTTTCTTATTAGTGTCTCTTAGGATTTTTTTGCATTAAAATAAATAATTGTTTGAACACAAAAAATCTAGTATACGGTTCTTAATTTAGAACAATAAAATACGTTTCTTGCGTCTACGTGGCTCGCTGTGATTGGATAACACAATTGGGGAAATTTTTTTTTTTTTTCCTTCTTTCTTTTTCCCGACCAAAATCCATCCTCTCCTTCTCTTCTTCTTCTTCCTCGAAACCTGCCGCATTGTCTTAGAATTACCAGTAATTTCTTTCCCGTATTCTCTCTCAATGTCCTTCTCGGATCTGCCGGCTTTAACTCGCAGCGGCTTGTCTCTGTGCTCTGTTCCGTCACAGAGGAAGAATCTTCGCCGGACGAGAACGCTGAGGAAACCCAGAAGTCCAATCCGCCGGCTTTAACTCGCGGTGGCTTGTTTCCGTGTTGAATTGTTAGCTATTTTTCACCATCCTCTATATTAAACAAGCTTCTATGTTCTCTGTTTTCAGAAAGTCGCAGGGAGGAATGGAGGATCATAAAGGGTAAACTTTGCAGAGAAAGGTTCTACCGTTGAACATAGTAAAAGTGAGGATCTCTTATCTAAGTTTTTTCACCTAGTTTAATATTAAAAAAACGGTTAAGAAACCTAATTGGGTTTGCAGCGTTAATGATGCTCTAAATGGCTTAGACTCTCGACCAAAAGTGACTACATAAAACAATAAGTATTCAGCTCTTGTTGTGTGCATTCTTGACAAAATTAATAAATTACATAACAAAAAGCTCGGAATCACAATGCCGAATATTCACCTCTCTCTATCTACTACTACCACAACGAGACATATACGTTTCTTATATATATATATATATATATATATATATATATTTAAACACATCAAGGTGTAAATAATATAAAAATACGAAACGCAAGATTCGTCTTGTAACGCGACGGGCCGACTTTATGTTTTTTTTGCTTAAATTATCTCTCAAGATAGTGATCCTTGAGAGGCTTTATAGAGCCGGATGATATATATACATGTATTGATCCCTCTCTCTAAACAAAACTAAATCTCAACTAAAAGGTGGATTTTTATTACTTAGCCCACAAAGCACCATGATTAAGAAGCTAAGCAATATGAATTACAACCAAAAACGGGAGAGATGTGGCCAGTACATCGAAGCCCTTGAAGAAGAACGTCGCAAGATTCATGTCTTCCAACGTGAACTTCCTCTTTGCTTAGACCTTGTAACTCAAGGTACATATAATTATGTACATACACATTGAAATATATTTATCTGTCTATATACATATATTTACTACGAAGAAATACAATAATTGTGATATAGTTTTTGAATGAAATGCAAAAAGAAAAAAAATATAATATATGTGAAAAATCTAGCAATTATGAAAAAAACTTACTTTTTTGGCTTCTTAAGCGATCGAGGCATGTAAAAGAGAGGTACCGGAGACCACGGTGGAGAATGCGTACGGACAACCGGAGTGCTCGGAGCAGACAACCGGAGAATGTGGGCCCGTCTTGGAGCAGTTTCTAACCATTAAAGACTCATCAACATCCAACGAAGAAGAACAAGAAGAAGAGGATGATGAGTTGGACGATGAACACGGAAATCACGATCCCGACAAAGATTCCGAGGACAAGAACATGAAATCTGATTGGCTCAAGTCTGTTCAGCTCTGGAACCAACCCGACCCTCTTCTTCTAAAAGAGGTAATAATATTAAAGAATCCAGATCGAAACTCAGACTAGCAGTCTTACGAAAATGCTCTAAATATTTGTGTTTAATTTGCTTTTCAGGAGCGCTCTCAACGGGAGATGATGGAGACAGTGGTGAATAGAGACGAGAGTATGAGAAAAGATCCGGCGACGAGCGGTGGCGATGGAAGGAAGAGAGAGGCGGAGAAAGACGGAGGAGGAAGAAAGCAAAGAAGGTGTTGGTCGTCGCAGTTGCATAGACGCTTCTTGAACGCTCTTCAACACTTAGGTGGACCTCATGGTGCGTTTTTAATATTAATCTTCTAAACGCTTTACTTTTTTAGGATTATGAGATTTTATTTACAAAATTAATTTTTATGAATTGATTTTGCAGTAGCTACGCCAAAGCAGATCAGGGAGTTAATGAAGGTTGATGGATTAACCAATGATGAAGTTAAAAGCCATTTACAGGTAATCCTATTAAACACATGCAGTTATTGTCTTTCTATAATTTTATGTATAATCTTAGATTAATAAATAAATATAGGAAATATAAAATCTGTTCTTCACAAAACTGATGTTCATTTATTTCTGTTTTGGGATATATAATAATAGAAATATAGACTGCATACAAGAAGACCAAGCCAACCAGCTCCTAATAGCGGAAACTCTCAAACGCAACATTTCGTAGTCGTCGGAGGTTTATGGGTCCCACAATCTGACTATTCTACGGGCAAGACCACCGGAGGAGCTACGGCCAGCGGCACTACCACCACTACAAACACCGGAATATATGGAGCCATGGCTGCACCGCCACCGCCACAGTGGCCGAGCCATTCCAATTTTAGGTCGTCGATTATTGTGGAAGAAGGATCGGGAAGTCATAGCGAAGAAGTGGTGGTCCGGTGTAGCTCGCCGGCGATGTCTTCTTCTACTCGTAATCATTACGTCAAGAAAAATTAATTTGTTTTTACTCTCTCTACTGTTTTGGTTCATTCTATTATACTATTATTTTGTTTTGTTGTCTACGAGTTAGAATTTGATACTGTGATAAAAAAAAGAGTGAGTTTTGCACCGAGACCAATACTATTTACAGGATAGAGACCATTTCTAATTTGCAGTTAATTTACATCTTATATAGTATTGTCATATATATATATACATATATATATTTTTCCAATTTTAATGACTTATATATTATAGACTTTCATCAAAGTCCGAATGTGTGATAAAAATAAGGAAAGAAGTTGTAGGGATTTTTTGTTTCTATTACAATGTCAGTCATATTGTGTTAAAACTAGAACAACATATTAGAAGAAAAAAAAGAAATTAGAACAAAATTTCAGTATGCATGGTGGTCACATTTGGTTGATGATCATGATTGGCTAGTGGCTACGTACTGCTTTTTTTTTTCTGCGCAAAATGTATACACTAATAAAAAGTAGATAGATGAATCAAAATACATGCTGATGTTAGATCGCATTTGATATGTGTATGTACATTATAATTTATACATGTGTATGCATATATACAGCTAGTATGAACATGGCGGTAGAGTCAAGAGCAAAAGGATCTTCTTAATAGTATATACTAAATATTTTTCGACCATATAATATAAAGGCGCAAACAGCCACATGACAACAAAATTTAATTAACAATAAGACTCGGACGAGGACTTATTGAATTGGTTGCATTCATAGGACGAATATGCTCGAATCCGAAAAGCATAACTTACTATATAATTCTATACTATTGTCAACATTTTGTTCAATATTTAAATTTGATTCTCATGTTGCTTCAATATTATTACAAATCTGCACGTTAGCTACAATGTCCTTGTCGTAGAGTATATTCTCTGCCTCTGGTTTAGAGAAGACTTTTATTCATTAAATAGATATGGTTAGGTCACTTAATATATTTGCTTGTTAGGACAGTATCTCTCAGAATCTTGAATTAATCTAAAGATTCTTTTAATTAATTGTTTTTCAGCCGTACCAGTCCCACAATTAGGTTTGTCTTTCCAGGTGGCTCTAGGTGCCACGTAGCATTTCTAAAATTTACGTGTATTTCTCAAACGATAAAGCTCATGTGGTGTGAAATATATAAAAAGTAACACCTCTAAGATATCTAGATACTAAAACAAAGATGGTTAATGAAATAATGAGTTAAACCATCTTCATATATTGATTTCTCTCTTTTTGTATGTGCTACGTGTTGTTTACTCTATATATTTTGAGTTGTTTCAAATTATTTCAAACGAAACCATCTTATCAAATTTATTTACTTTAATATATATATATATTAATATTATGTATATATTAGCATTTTGAGATAGAGTTTTAATACGTGCAGATTTTTAATAAGATGGTTTCGTTTTCAAGATCGGATCAACCTGGCTAGAAATTTCATGTGCAGAATAAACAACCAAATAAGATAAGTATATTTTACTTTGGAATTATTAAATGCATATATATATATGTATATAATGTATACACGTAGTGTATTGACGATAGATCCAAATGACCAGGAATCGGATTAGGATTTCATTAGGTAGTTCAAATTAGGGATGGCCAAGCATGGGTTAACGTGGCCTTTCACACAAGTTAAAGGACAAAGTGGCTCTTGATAATTATTAATTAAAGAGCAGTGATTATGATTGAAACAAGGAAAAATACAAATAATTAATTCATCAACAAACTTGAATGCTTTTATTGGTCTATATCCAACATTAAAAAATCATAGACATGGGATATTCGAATTGACTTATTTAAGTCGTTATAATAAACTTGTACGAAGAGTACAAATTTATATACGACCTTAACTTTATCATCTTCTATATACATGTCTTAAGTACGTGCTAATCTTGTTTTAATCCTTAGCAAAATGTTTGACATTGTGAAATTAAAATCCTTAGCAAATGGTTGACATTGTGCACTTAATCTTGTTTGAATACTCAGCAAAATGGTTGACATTCTGAAGATAATCTTTGATTATGTAATATGAAGCCTTTAGAAGATTCTTAGTGACTAGTAAACTAGGTAGAAATTAATACCGATTTTTTTCTTAAAGTTTGAACATACCGAGATAATTATAAATTAAACGATATGCATTGTCATCACATTTACAAGGGAAAGTTGTTTCTAAATATATATACTAGTTTCAGGCAACTTATATATGTAATGTATATTATTTGAAAGTCATACTCATCACTTTAAGATATCGAAAACGTTATATATACCGGTGATGAGTATGACTCTCAAATACTATACAGATAATACAGATTATATGAAATTATATATATCTATATATATATATATATAATATATATGTCTGTTCTGACTTTTGAGTTATGAAATGTTATTACATTTTGGGAATCAGGCAAGGAGGAGGATGTCTCCCAATGAGAATGATCGACCTTTCAACAGTTGTCCAAATTTTGGGCTTAATGGGCCATCCTTACTTTGGGCTAGGCTTATATTTAGTCCCCAGTGTCAGATGCCTAATTACTCCCTCAATGGTCATTAAACGTGTGAGTGGGCGTACTCTAATATTCATGCAAGTGTGAGTATATTTTACAATTTACAGGTTACAAATTTGGAAAGATCACCATGTTTTCTGAGAAACAAAAGAAACCCCGTTCTTTCTCGGTAATGCTAAATTAGAAAGTAAGACCCAAGTATTCGAGATTGTTATAAAAATATTGATTATTTCCATATGAAGTAAAATTAATTGATTAAAATTAAATATTTCTTCATACCTTAATGGCTTAGAAGACCAAACAAAAACAAAAAATGCTACACATAATTATCCCAATCAAAAAAGAAAAGAAAGATAAAAGAGAGTAAAAAACTTTACAGTTCATGAACTTTCTATAACTTAAATCGAAGCTGTTGTTCCAATCTTGTGGGAGTGTAAGGAATGAGATTAACAATCTTTTCACCTTTTGGAAAAGGCAACTCTGTTTCTACAGGTATCTTCTGTAGTATTATGACCTCGTTTAGCTTCTCATACTTAGCCAAAATCTTGGTTACGTCCTCTCTCTCTTTCTTGAATATCGATATCCATGAGTCTTCTTTCGATGGCTTACTCTTCTTCGCCGCTGCTAATGCACGCCGGAGAACCCCAATCGCTTCACCTACTCTCTCTTCGGATTCCAGCACTTCAGCAAAGTGTTTTTGGCTCTTTAGCTCGTGTAAAGCTCTCATTGTTGCAACATATTCCTATATAAATCAAGAAGATTCTAAGGAAGACCTAAAGCAAAGTTATCTTTATGCGATCAAGAAACAGATGAGGTTTTATCTGACCAAGATTTGGTTTCTCTCTTCTATATGCAGAAAGTAATGGAACAAGATTTGCTTCTTCATCACATATAGCTAAGTTTTAGGGATAGGGGACTTACGAGAAAGCGTGACGATAAGTCTTTACATTCTCCATTGGCTCTAGATGACAAATTAGCACATACTTCAGAAAGCATTTGTGTAACACCGTAATGCAGTTTCGACAATAGGCTTGCGCTTTTTCCGCTTTCTTCAGCGTTCTTCGTAGTTACAGCCTATATATCAAAGAATTATCATCAGTTTTCATCTACAAACAAATATAGATTTGAGGCAAGAACCCACCAAGAGAGAGAGCTAGGTAAATGAGGACCATTAGTGAAAGATTAGTTAAAACACTTACCTGACCTTCAGCTAAACAGAGGAGGCTCAAGGAGGTGCAAAGCGGAGGAGTTAGCTCAGGGAGCTTCCCTGGAGGCAACAAAGGTTGTAAAGAAGGAAGAAGCTCATGAGACAGATGATGGAAAGCTCCAGATGCTTCTCGGTAAAGTTTTACCGATGTCTTAATATCTGTTGTAAAATCAGGAAAGCAAAGTAGTTATGAGTAATGATGCAAAACAGAAGCAACGCAGAAAACAGAGAGATGGTTTTATTTTTAAAAAAGCCTAATAATTAATACCTGAGGATGCTAACTCCATCGCTCTCTCCCTGAGCTTAACTGCGTAAAGGAAAAGTACCATTCCAAGCTCGAACATTATGTTATCGACTTGGAAGAATTTCGGACATTTACGCTGAATCAAGGTCTGCGAGATCAATCCACTGCTCCATCTTATCTTGAGACCTGAAACCCCTCTTTGAAGCTTATCAGCGTAATGCACCAAGTTGAAGAGTAATGGAAGGTATTGTCCAAGTTTTTGGAGATCCTGTATATTATGCAGCAATAAAAAAGAAGAAGAAGCTAAGTTACACATATTGTTTATGAAAAAACTGAAATCAATTTCATTGAAACACTGCTATCTTTTAAAACAAGGAGAGAGAGAGAGTTATAGAGTAAATTACTTGCTCACAAACAGAGGTTAGTGCTCTGTTTTTCTCTTTTGCAATGGCATCAGTGAGATTGCTGGTTCTGTTAACAGATTCCTCGATCGCTTTACGCTTAGCGCTTAACTTTTTAACTTCTGTTAGAGTAGAAGCACCATCAGATGGTAACGCTTTCTCAAACACTATCTGGTTTTTAAGACAAAAGGTGAGAGAAGGCATGAGTTACAAATCCTCAATCTCAGGATCAAACACACATATACAACACAAAAAACCCTAAAATCAGAAAACTGGAATCGTTCGAGAGATATACACAAACTAGAATCAAAGGACAAAAGAAGATTACCTCTTTTGTTTTCGGTTCTGGAATTAGGTACTGCATCATCGTCGTCTTCTTCTTCTTCTTTCAGACTCTTGATTAGACAACTAGTAAACACCAGAAGGAACAAAATAAAACAAAACCCCACATAAAAGAAAGAAAACAGGACGAGCGAAAATTTCTGAAACCCTTAAGCTTAGTTATTATTAATAATACTCTGAAAACGCAATTCCTGAGAGTGTTAGGAACTTTTTGTTTTTCAGGAAATTCAGATTTGTATTTGCTTTCCTATTTCTATTGCTGTGGATATCAAATAGAAGAAAAAAAGGAAATTTCTTAGAAGAACTGAAACAGCATGTGTGCAACAACAAGACCGATGAAATCAATAACAACATATAACCCAACTGAAAACGTCAAAACGACCTTTGATCAACATATTATATATGATGAGATTTTGAAATTTTCTAGGGAGTTTCAATGCTTCCAAGGTCAATTGTTCTGTTTCCTTTTTAGACAAGGTTTTGACTTTTAATGAGATATAGTCTTTCCACTTAAATTAAAACCTATGGATTTGGGTTTAAAATAGAAGACCTGATAAAATATTGAACTATTACTAATTTAATTATAAATTCGTAAATCATCATTAAAAAACCTGGGAAGACCATCAATATCACCCTCATCAAGCTAATAAGAAGGAGGTTTGTGATTCCGGCGGGTCTGCTCTAATGCTTTGGATACTGAATATATTATTATGATGAAACTGAACATTCAAATCCATGTAGAGAAGAGTCCCATAAAAATCGATTTTATGAATTTTTTAAATTCATCTCACAATATATTTGATTAATTGATGATAGCAGATTTTGTTATATTTTAAATTGCAAATATCTTGATCAAGTGATTTATCACAAAAGCTTGCTGATTTTTTTCCTTTTTTGGCATCTTTGAAAATTTTAACAATATCTGTCTGGTTTATTAATTTTTAAAAACAAGAAAATCTATAAAAAAAAAAACTTACATTAAAGTTTTTACAGTGCACAATCTATGTCTATTGTAATCAATTCATCACAATGCTAGGATTTTACCTAATTCATCAAATACAATAAAACAATTTCTTAATCCCAATAACACCCCTAAGATTCTTGCGTTTATGAATACTTAGGCCTAAAACCCATTATTATGGGCTGATCGCCTTTGATATTTTTACAATTTTTTTTGTCTTTCAAACCTGTCGCTATTATAGCAAAACAATAGTAAAAATCTACTCCAGTAAACATTTTATTTACATAAATCTCTTATGAAAATAATTACTTCTTCTAAAATTTAAAACTTTAAATTTATCAATTTGGAAAACAACAGTTTTCATACTCCAAACTACAATGAATGTTTTTTAATTAAACAAAGATTAAGGAGAAAGTAGGAAAACATGTTGCCACAAATCACAAAAAATATGAAGATCTACAATGGCCAAACTCTTACGGTCACTCACTTAGCGCGTGAAGTAAAAATTTTAAGTACAGTTACAAAACCTCATGCATTTTTTCTAACAAACACAAAACCAAATTGATAAAAACAAATTTTAGCAATCTAAAGATCAATTAAACTCTTAAGCATGTTATTGTAATAATTGAGATGTCAATTCAAATTGGATAAGTCTATCTAATTGGAATACAAGAAACTACTAAATCCAAGTCGATAGATAAGAGTTTTTGTTTTGAAATTAGCAACCTAAATGAAAAGTAGCAACCAAGACAAATCACGCTAAGTGTTGATGCTGCCGTTAGTCACTACACTGACGCAATTAATGTTGCTCAAGACAATCCCCGCGTCCATTTATTTTTCTTCTGGCATTTCGCTGCTCATGCGTTCTTTGGTCACTACAAGGAAACAGTCTCTGATGCAAAGAAAGATGGCGAACTAAAACCAAGGGTATATCTGTCTCGGTGATGCTAATTTTGAATTAAGTTCACAACAGTTCCAAGAAGCTGTGGGATACTACGAGAAGCATACGAACTCAGTGGATGGTCAGACGATTATTTGTTAGAAGCTATTCAGAAACTAAATGTTTATGGCAAATTTTCCAAAAATCTGTTTTTCAATGCTATCCGACACCCGTATATAGTTAAGATGGTGAACGAAAATGAGCATACGAGTGGGTTAATGGGTTAATGGAACATGCTGATATCCTTAGTATGATGGAGGAACTCAAGGAAGACCAGGATCGTATCTATCTTTACCTGAAAGATGGAGAGGGTGATCAAGGCTGTCTGTGTTTTGCACTATGCTCAGGAGTTTTATTAAACTTATGAGAGCTATGTGTTACTTTGTGTAAAACTTGTCTTTATAAGTGATGATGTTTCTGCATTTATACTTAAATATTGTGATGAAGAGAACCTAGATTGTAAGAGACTTATAATAGAAATAATCTGGTTTTGTGTTACGCTTGCAAAACTTATTTTATACCTGATGATGTTTGTGTTGCTTCTGATTTCTGCATTTATACATAACTGCATTGTGTTAGTATTCTCTTGCATTTTCGTTGCTTTGTATCGTAGGTCAATTGTTCAGTTTCCTTCTTTGACAAGTTTTTGACTTATGATGAGATATAATCTTCTTGTTAAAAAGTGACAAAAGAGTTGCTGGTGATATTAAAATCAATAGGTTTGGGCTTAAAATAGAAGATCTAATAAGTTGACTGTGAGCTTTAATATCACCGGCAGTTCTTTAGTCACTTTTTCAGTAAATAGGTGTTGGTGATATTGAAGTCCATAAGCTTGAACTTAAACTTAAAACATAAAACCGAAATTGTTGAATTTTTTTTTAGAAATCTTCAAAAAGAAAAAGATTTAAACCCAACAATATCTGTCTAGTTTGTTGATTTTTAACGACAAAAAAATCTATTAAAAACTTACATTAAAGATCTTACAGTGTACAATCTATGTACATTGTAATGAATTCATCACAATGCACTTGGATTTTTCCAAATTTATCAAATACATTAAAACAATGTCAAACCTTAATCCCAATAACAGTATTAAGATTCTTGCCTTTAGATATACTTAAGCCTAAGACTCATCATTATGGGCTAACTGCCTTTGATTTTCTTTACAATTTTTTGGTTTGTGCTTTAGCAAACCGACTGAAAAAAAGTCCCTTGTACACACCACGACATACAGAAGACTGCCTACTGCCACAAGCCAGCTATGCACCTTGCTCTTGTCGAGATGTCCTTTCTTTACAAACATGTCGCTATTATATCAAAACAATAGAAAAACCTGCTCCACTCAACATTTTATTTACATAAATCTATTACGAAAATATTTACTTCTTTTGAGATTTTAAACTTTAAATTTTTTCAATTTGGAAAACAACAGTTTTTAATTCCCAAACTACAATGGATGTTTTTAACTAACAAAAATTAAGGACAAAATAAAAAACAAGTTGCCAAAAACCCCAAAAAAAAATGAAGATCTACAATGGCCTCTACAAATATGAAGTACATTTACAAAACCTCATGCACTCTTTCTACAAATACAAAACCAAATTGATAAAAAAAAAAAAAAAAATTTAGCAAGGTGTGTCAATCCAAATGAGATAAATCTATCTAATTAGAATACAAGGAACTTCTAAATCCAAGTCAGTAGATAAGAGTTTTTGTTTTGAAACTAACAACCTAAATGAAAATTAGCAACCATGAAAAGATCAAAGAAAAGGAAACAACTGTGAGTTTCATTTTCTACTGTTCTGCGAAATTGTATCATAATTAAAAGTCTGCATCATCTATGTAGAAACGTTTGTTTTTTTTGTTTGAATAAAATTTAACATTCATCTTAAAAAACAAGTAATTAAGAAAACACTGTCTGGTTCATATATATATTTTTTTAGCTAGACATAATCACATTGTCAATAGATTGGAGAGCTTGATTTGCAAAAAACCGAACATCAACATCTGGGTCTTCACTTAGCTCCATCAAGCATGGCCGTATCATCTTCTCCACAACCTTTCACAACCAAAAAAAAATTTTGTATGGACGTTTTAGATTCCTGATGAGGACAACGTCACACCATAAGACTGCTCTTTATTTCTGATAAACCCAAAAGAATTGCGTGTGAATGTGATACTAACCGATTGGTCAACTGTCGGAATGAGCGATTGCATCATTTTGGCAACGTTAAATTTGATGTTTGGAACTCTGATAAGAAGGGAGAGAGAGCGTTTTTTTTACTTAGCTATTGGGAGTAATAAATTGATTCAGTGAGATTTCATGTTCTATCAGAAAGAGACTTGCCTGTCTTTAGATGCAGTTATTACCACAGGCAAGAGTTTGGAGCATGTGATCTCGGATCCCATTACTGGAGCAAGAAGCGATACTGCACGAAGAATCGTCATCCGATATAGATAGTGTGGATTGTCAATCAGCTCTAGAACCTGCACAAATAAATACACATATAACCCGATAGTGAAAATGATCATTTTGAATCAAGGAGAAGGGAAAAAGTCTACCAAACACTTAGAGAGATTTCTAGACAAACCTGAGGAACTATATGCTGCATTGCCCACTCAGGACCAAACTCCTCAGCAAGACGCTTGAGATTGTTTGCAGCAGCGTCCCGGATTGAGTGAACCTGACAATAACAAAATTTATTTCCCAAATATTCAAACGGTCGAAAAGACTTATCTATGTATCCGATGAATCAATGAAGGTAGAGAATGAGAGACCTTGTCTTGTAACCATTGCATGCAAAGAGCACCAAGCTTGTCGTCAAAGAAGCCTACACCTAATTGACTGGCCAACAAGGGAATATACTCAATTATAGCAAGACGTACTCTCCAGTGCCTGTCTTCAGCAAGTTCTACAATGGCTGGCAATAAAGATTGTGATAGTAGATCAATCCCAATAACCTGCCAATTTTTTTTTTTTTAAAAAACTGCTTCAGCATCTAAAAATTAGATGGAAAAAAGAAGTTGCTGCAAAGTGGTATATATTAGCCTTTCACTTTGAACATGTGGGGAACCTTTTCCAAAATGGAGTTCCAATGTTGTGCAAAGAGATAGTAACTTGGTCAATAACAAACCTGGTTCACTTGGTCAAGTTTGCTGATAATGTTTAACCGTACATCAGGAAACTCGTCTTTTAATAGAGAAAGAAAGATTGGAAGAAGATGCTCAATTGTTGCATCCTGCAATAAATATCAATGCTAAGTTAAAAAACTGCAACATAGAAAATGCAAACACCATATCTCGTGTCGAAAAAGATAAATAGGCTTTTTGACATAGATTATGGTTGCACCTTCCAGGCACAGATTACACAAATTCGTAGAGATGAAAACCAGGAGGAAGATGATATATACATGGTTTCAAACAAAAGAAAGAATGTTCTATTTTTTTTGTTCAAAAATAGAATCGTTCTATTTAAGATGCTAAAGCTGAGTAAAATAATGTATTTTTTGTATAGATGACAGTATTCATGATATAAGAGGCATTTGTATCGATCCCCTTACCTTACCCAAGACTGGAGCCATTCCCATTATAATTGAGGCCAGAGCAGATCTGACATGCTGAGAAGAGTCCGATGATAATTCCTACGCGTACATTTAAAGATAAGCTATTAGTAATAAGCATATACTGATGGTACATTGGTCTGTTGCACAACATGAAATTAAAAACACTAGTCTTGAGCGTTTGTACCTTTACACAGGGAAGAATGTGCTGGATAGCGAGTTCAGGGTTTACAATCCGACAAAATTTAGTAACTTTTCCAGCAGCTGCTATCCGAACTTCAGCCTCATTATCACGAAGTAGACGAACATATGCAGGCACCAGATCCGTCCTTAACACACGAGGCACATCACAAGAAATAAGATAAGCAAGAATTAAGGAAATCTATCAAGATGGCTCAACAAACATAAACTTCCCAAGTACCAAATACCTCTGGAGCCTGTAATCTATTGTTTGATAAAGAATTACGAATTCAAAAGGTCAATAAAGACATCAACCAGCATTGCTTACCTACTTGGCTCCGGCCCAACAGCTTCACAAAGTTCATAGAGCTGATTTGCAACCATATAACGCACACGCCAGGACTTATCCTGCTCAGAGAAGAAAAAAAGGAAGATAAAGCACCTCATACACATATGCCTTACAGCTTTTCCCATAAGACTCATCAGTCAAAAGTCGGTACTTATTCACCTGTGAGAACTTGCCAATGACAGGAAGAATGTGTGCAACGCAGTCCTGGGGCTCCAACAATTTCCCAAGAGCAGCACAACTCTCAACAGCCAATAATCTAACCGAATCTTGTTCTGACATCAACGTCAATATGGTAGTTAAAAGCGATAAGATCATTATAGTAAAGACACTGAAACTGAAATGTGGACAATGGTAGTGCTGCTTCACTTCAGCTAATTCTATGTGTTCAATTCATTAACCCTATAAACAGGCTTGATGAAAATTGTAAGAGTATATGCCGGCAAAACAAAACCATATAGTATCGGAAAACATACCATCTTGCGTAAGATCCTCAAACATGGACATAATGTCTGTCTTCAAATGAGCTGATTCAACTGTAGCAGCAAATTTTCCTAAATTGGTTGCTGCAGCTCTGCGCACCATTGGCATGTCATCTTGACAGAGCTGGCTGTATATTGATCTTAGCTCAGTCTTTAGCAGATCTGAGGCGCTAGCGTATGCAACATGGAAAATCCCACATGCTGATACTCTAGCTGTGAACCACTCACCAGCTGAAAGTCGCTGTAAACCATGATAATGTTGAGTGATATTGCACAATGCACGTTACAAGCACAACAATCATCTTGGTTCCTACTTCCTATAGAGACGTATAGTCACATACAAAACCACAATTCAAAAGAACCCTAATGACAGAGACATATTATACACTATCCGATGGGTGTTCTCTTAGATCAATCAAACTGGATGTAAACAACTTCAACCAATCGATTCCCAAAATATCTATATGGGGAACACTGAACAAGAGGCAAACAAATATTTCTATGTCCAACCTTTCGGCGACAAAAGACACAAAAACTTACATGTTCCTCTGTGTCAAGAAGAGCTCAATTTCTCAAAGAGATAGATAACATGAGTTCTAACCTTAGCTAGAGGAATGAAATGATCAACCAAGTCATTCTCCCTCATCTGAGAACCAATTCTGCAGAGTGAATCTACAGCTTTCTCCCTCACGATGGTTTCCTCGACGGTTGAGAGAGTCTCCAGAGGTGGAAGCAGGACATTTGCGTGCTCAATTCCTCCCACGAAAGGAATAAAAACCCCCAACTCTTCTGCCATTGCCAGAAGCACCTCGTCATCATCGTCATTGTTTTCACTAAGAAACGGAATCAACTCCTTTCTAGTTCTCTCCTCTCCAAGAGCACGAGCGATGATGGAAAGCCGTCTAATGGAGTTCAATCTAAGCTGAATATCATCATTTTTTAGCTCGTCTATAAGCACGGCAATAGGGTATAAAGGCTCATCAACCATAGACATACTGTCTAAACCTCAATCAGTACCCAATTTCAACTGATCCTATATCAACAACGATGTACAGAAAGTCAGCAACAGGAAAGAAAAAGAAAACATACATCTTTCAAACTACAATTACACTACAAATAAATGATATAAAAGCAAATTAAAATTTTTTTGGAATTGTGCCATATATGAGAAAGAGATAGAGCCAAACACTGACATAATCCAAGAGTAAGCCATTACTAATTCTAAGGAAACATGAATTAGGCCAATAAATTATTTGCACCAAACAATTATACTAACTTAAAACAATGAACATCAGAATCAAACATGAATAGAGCGGAGAAATTGACCATTTCCTACTAAAATGAAAAAGAAGAAACTTAGTGCCGTCCCCATCTTCCCGGAAAGGCCTAGAGAAACTACTACCTCTCATTGACTAATAAAGAAAGAAGATCTAAACAACAGTTCGATTAGAGATTCTCATATACATTCGAAAAATCTTTCTAGGCTGAAGAAATGGTCGAGATTTTTACCGATTACGCTGCTTTCCCAGTTCAAACGATATGCCGATTGAAAGAAGAACGAGAACGAGACAGAGAAGGAAAAAACAAAATATTTTTCTGAGGCCTGTAAATGCTTAGAACTTAAATGGGCCTAAATATTTTCTTATTTATACTCAAACCTTTTAATAAAACTACGACGACGTTTCGATATATTTCTTAATCTCGTATAAAGGAAGCTTCTCGTAGCCAAAACATTGGACACTCTCTTCTTCCTCAGAAAATCCCGGAAAAAGGAAAAAATTTGCTCTCTCTCCAGTTTTTTTATATTTTCCCGCGCATTATTTCGGAAAAATGGCTCCTAAATCGGATAATACAGAAGGTAATCATCTCTGGGAAAAATCTTCTATGCTCTTTGATCATGTTCGAATATATGCTCTTCAGCGTTATCGGATCTGGGGTTTCTTTTCGTTGCTTCCCATTTAGTTTAATTCACCTTTTCTGATATCTCTCTTATTAACTTACTGAAATTTTCGATCTGCAGCTATCGTACTCAACTTTGTGAACGAGGTGAGCACTTCGCGGCGATTCCATTTTGCTTATCGAGAAACCCAATTTTAAAACGGATCACAAACAGATACGACCTTGAAATTCGATTTTGAAATTAAGGCTAGGTTAAGGTATAGAGTGATCAGTGATGTTCATTGGGTCTTTTTGGTTACTCATCTTCGTGACTCTTAGCTATATGAGAAGTGAAATATAACCACACGAATTTGTCGTTTGAAGCTTTTTGAATCGTCTGGGTTTTTGAAAATTGGTAGATACGGGGTCTGAATCGTAAGCGTTTTTATTCTGGTGTTCATGATGAATCGGTTGTTACATTATGGTGCAGCAAAACCGACCTCTAAACACCCAAAATGCAGCTGATGCTCTGCAAAAGTTTAATCTTAAGAAGACTGCAGTACAGAAAGCACTCGATAGCCTTGCTGATGCTGGGAAAATCACGTTCAAGGAGTATGGTAAGCAGAAAATATACATTGCAAGACAGGACCAGTTCGAGATTCCAAACAATGAGGAGCTTGCTCAAATGAAAGAAGAAAATGCCACATTGCAAGAACAACTCCAAGAGAAGAAGAAAACAATCGGCGAAGTTGAGTCAGGTGTGAAACTTACTTTTTTCTTTAGACATATTTTTAGGAAGTAACTAATCTGTGTATGTGTTTAGTTGCTCGGATAACGTTATCTTCTGTGATATTATTGTCTTCACAGAGATCCGGAGCTTGCAGACAAACTTGACACTAGAAGAGATACAAGATAGAGATGCCAAACTAAGGAAAGAGGTACATCTTCTTCTTAGCTTTGGTTTTTTGTCTTTCCTTGAGTAATCTTGTAATAGAGAATAGCTTAAAATTGATTCCGACTTTGTACCAGGTTAAGGAAATGGAAGAGAAGCTGAGTAAACTACGCGAGGGAGTTACATTGGTGAGGCCGGAAGACAAAAAGGCTGTTGAAGAAATGTACTCAGACAAATTAAATCAGTGGCGAAAGCGTAAGAGGATGTTCAGAGACATTTGGGATACTGTAACGGAGAATTTTCCCAGAGACATTAAGGACTTTAAGGTGTGTATTGTTCACAAGTTTCCTCTTTCAAAACTACATGAAATTAGCCGTAATGCTTGACTTCTGTGACTTGGTAGGAGGAGCTTGGAATTGAATATGATGAAGATGTCGGCCTAAGCTTGCAGGCATATTCTGATCTTATTCAACATGGTAAAAAGAGAGGCAGAGGGCAGTAGTTTCCAGGCAAGTTCTTAGAAAATCTCGCTCAAGTCAAACTTTTCTAGAAACTTTTCTTGACTACACGCATATGCAATTGTTTCAACAAAATTGAAAGCTTATATCCATAAAAAATACAATAATCTGACACCCTTGACCAAAAGAAAAAAACACAGACAAAGATTGTACAAAACTCATCATTAAACCATAGATGCATCTGAATAACAAAAATTATACTTCTTAGTATCCACGAACCTGTCTTGTCCTGACTGAAATCGGACCTTTCAAACCCACTTTACGCATAATAGGATCTTCAACCGAACCATGCATAAGATGTTGCTCACCTTTAACCTTGATAGTAGTATTAGTCTTAGCGCCATATGGAGTTTCTTCCTCACTGTCGTAGATGACAACATCTTTCTCCAACAACTTCACAGGGTCTTCTCTAAATGACATCACTGGGACATCCTCAATAATGTCTTCTGAATCCGAGATAGACCTCTTAGATTGTGACCTTACATCCTCTTGGCTGGATCCTTCACCATCTGAAAAATCTTCATCATTACCTTCTTGTGTTTGTTCTGATTTCTTGTTTTCGGAACCATTGGATGAATTTCCCACACCATTGATACCCGGATTGTCCCCTCCACGAGGAGAAAATTGAGAAAGCTCCACAGCCGCTTGTGCAGCTTCCGCTGCATGAGCAGCTGACTCAAACGCTGCTTGTGCAGCATCAGCCACATCTTTGTATTTCTTCTTTCCTCTCTTAACCGAATCAGATAACTCATAACCTTCTCCCATTTCTTCTTTTCCATCGTTACTTGTTAACTTAGCCTTAGAAACATCTGATGTTCTCTGCATAAATCAGAAAATTGATTAGAAAATGATTTTTTCTCTGTTAATCTTTTCTCTTTTGTGGTTATTGCAGATCTACACACCTCAGTGGAAGTAGAAGCTTCTTCTAGTTTCAGAACAATGTTGTTCTCTGCAGCGATCTCCTTCAAGACCTTCATTCTAACTTCTTTCGGTGGATGTCTTGTCGACAGCTTCTGAATTATCTATAGTGACACCAAAATGAAACATGAATACAAGAAACTCAGTAAGTATTTTGCTTTGTATTTAGAGATATATAACGTATTAAATATATTAGTTGAGTTGAATGAATCAAAGTTGCTTACTTTGGGATTAACCCCACAATTATTGCGCAACTCAATGGAACGAGCCGCGAGATCTTTGCCAAAACGCGAAATCAAAACGTTACGAATCTCTTGAAGCTCAGGGAACTCTCCGATTCTAGAAGCCGCGAAGAGCAAGCTGGAAACAGCTTCAAGAAGCTCTTCAGGGCAATCTCTGTTGTGTTCGAAGAGGTGAAGACGGTCGAGCAAGAGAGTGAAGTAGCCATGGATGAAGAAGAAAACGTCGAGGGTGTTTTGGTCTTTTATGACTTGGTCGACTCTGTGGTAAGCGTTCTCGTGGTGGCCGAGCTTGAGGAGCTCGGTGACGTCAGAGGTGGCTTGAGAGCATCTGGCTTGACGTTGGTTCTTGAGAATAGAGAGCCTCGTGAGAGCTAAGTTGAGGAGAGACTTGAACTTGTTGGTTTTGAAACTCCGACCAAGCAAAGCGTCCAGCTTCTTCCCCATTTGCTCTCAGTGAGTCGCATAGGAGATAGAGAGAAAGTGAGAGGAGAGAGAGAGAATGAGGTTAATGTGATTTCGGTTTGAATGGGAGTTATAAGAGGAAAGAAGACTAGACGCGTTTACGACGTACGACGACTTCTTCGTTCTTAGCAACGAAGTTTTCCGAAGTTTGAAAAAAACGACCCAAGTGAAGAAAAAAAATGGGGTCCGAAATCCAAAATAATAAAAACAAAAAGGACTGCTATTGAAAATCGCCCGCGAGGATTAATTATCTTCTAAGACCAAATGAAATGATAATTGATCAAAACGGGTAACATATCCAAACACGCTATTCTACTTAAATGTTTTGAGCAATTTTTTAATTTTTATATTTACTCAAACGGAAGTATTCAGGAAAATACTGTGTGTCATACTCTTTGTTTTCTTTCCGATGTTTTTTGTCTAACTAAAGAAAAATTATTAGGAAAGTTTGAAGATATTACTCAAACATGTTATAATTCTTTACATCTGAACCCGCCATTACTCGGTCCAGTCTCAAAACGCCAATTGCATGGAAGATTCATGTCCTGCACATCTCAAATCAGATTTTTCCAGTGTAAACTGCAATCTTTAATTACGGTATAGTGTGAAATTTGAATCACTGTTTCACAACATTCACCACAAAATTAAACGTTGTATTAGTTCTCATAACTATCAGAGAAAGAGAAATAGAGAGAAAGGCACTTTCACATATAATAGAAGCGTAATAGGAGAGTCTCGTAATTTTGTTCAACATTTTGCTTCGTAAAATCACATTTCAATAGTTCCAACCTTTCATTGTTTGTTTTATTTCCAGCTTTCTTTAGAAGCTATAAGCGGAACATTCATTACAAAAGTTGTGAAATAGACACAAAAGAACTGTCATTGTTACGGCTCTTAATATTGCAATTTATTTAAGACCGATAGGTATAAAGACTTTACTAACGCTTTTGCTCGTGGGATCAGCCATTAGAATGCAAACGATTTCCTCTTTATTAGATGTGACAGCAAAAAATCAAAAACGTTTTAGACTTATACAACTCATCTTTACTTAACTTTCGACATCATAAACATTATAAAGTAATTATCGATAATGTTGTTATTATGGTAAATAAAGGCTTTACTTCTGTTAGGTAGGAAAAGGTGAAGAAAAAATAGCTGTTTAATATAATTTACAAATTTCACGATCTTTTCTTCTAGACATAATTCTCCTCCCACTAATATCAATTATCGCTAGACACTCACGTCAACCAAACACATTCTAAATATTTTAAAGTTTAGATTCGTAAACTTCGAATGACACCTAATCTTTTCGTATAGGCTAAATTCTTCACTCAAACTCGGTATATTTGAAATGATATTGTGTGAATCCACCTGCTAACTTTGAAATATTCCATTACTTACGACTAAAGTTGTGGTATAGAAACCGTAAAAGGCGAAGCTTGTGAAATAGACAAAAGAGAGTTGTTATTGCATGTATAAGTCATGATAGTTAGTAATGTTTTTGCCTGTGTAATTAGCCATTAGAATACACACGATTTCCACTTTATTACGTGCGACACAAACTAAGCATCTAAAATTCAAAAACCTTTTAGACTTCTACAACTCATCTTCACATAACTTTCCACATCATAAACATTTTCTTAACAATGATAATAGTGTTCTATCATAATTAAGAGAGGCTTTTTTTGTAAAGTCGACACATGCAAGTCTGTTTTGGTAAAAGAATAATACATGAAAATGATACAATGTGAATCCATTAGACAACCCAAAGATATATATATGTGTTGTTACACTTACACATCTTTAATTTTGATAATTTAAGACTCTTCTCATCTAACTTAATACACTATAGGGTTCACTTGCCCGTGATGAATGGGTGAGGTATGCATGTGACATTGTACGTCTCTTTTCAGGATTAAGTATGAAAATTTTCTCCAGAAGATCCCTAAAATGAACTAACAACTTTGGATCCTCACCCGCATAACCTTTCTTAGTCTTGCGTGCACCTTGTTTAATTAGTTTGTAAATGTATCCGTTTTAACGAGTACGCAATGCTTTTAAAACCGAGACGGACCGATCAGATCGGATCAGACTTGTCATAAACTAATAGACTAAATAACTAACCAGTCTAACCATCTTTTAAAAAACCCGAGTTGGTTAAAAACTAAAGAAAAATACATGGTCAAAACAAACCAGATTAAACCGTCTACTTCACCAATCCTTAAATCTGGTAGAATCGGTTAGAGACCAGGTAGAACTTCGTAAGTTCGACCAACTCGATGTCTAGTTTGATTTGGAAAACATTGTCGATCAGTACAATTCGGTTTCAAATAAATCATTTTCCGGTTAACTGTTAACCAGAAACAGTACCAACTATCAAGATAAATGTAGTTTGTGATTGTAGTACAAGTACCAATTTGTTTTGGGCTATACCACATATTTTATGGGCTGTGTCTTTGCTTGTGTCTGAAAATGAAATCAGACTTTGCTATTTTATATTAAATGAAGGTGTTTTTTTGGATCAAAATGAAATGAAGGTGTTAAAGATAGAAAAACACAGACAAAATTTGATAATGAGGATTTTCATACTAGAATTTTTCACATTAACAGAAACTATGCGAGAAAGAGAGAAGAGATAGTTAGAGATCTGGGAAGAACAAACAAACGAATTCGCTTACACTAAACCTACCAAATTACCCCCCACTAACAAAATATTTAACTTTCCTATTCCTAATAATTAAAACTTAAAAGATATTAACCATTTACCATAAAATGGTAACGGTAAAAAACGACAGGGAGGCTAAACGCTTTACAAAACGGCACCGTTTTTCCAATTTACCACCACCTAAGAAAAAAAAACTCCGGAAAGTTTGTCGTTTATTCCGCCGGTAAAGACTCCGACCGCCAAGAAAATAGATCCCCGGAATCAAAACAATCGTCGGAAAATTCGAAAAGTCCATCAACGGCCACGTAATCTCCACCATCTCCGACGACGGTACCCAAATCTAACGATCCGTAATTCGACACGTGGTCCTCCAACCCCCATAGCTCGTCGATCCCGGACGAATCTGACGACGCTCGTACCAAATCCGTTAACGTCTCCGTCGTCTCCTCTTCTTTCGCGATTGGAATCGGAGAAACCGGTGGAGGCGGTGGCAAGCCGAGCTCGTCATCGGAGGCCTCGAGAAGATAACCAAGATCCGGCTGAGTTTCGTCGGAGCCTTGCGCCGCGGTGGTAACCGTCGAAGACGCAGCTGATAACTCGTCCTCGAAGCTCTTCATAACCGAGTCGAGATCTTGACTCACCGGTTCAGGATCCGAGTCATCGAGAACATCGAATAAATCGTCTCTCAGCCTCTTCACCTCCGGCGATTCGAGAACCGCGTCGTCAGACTCGTCTCTAACTCGCTTCTTCTCGGTCGACTCAGCTGAGTCAGCCCGAGTTAGCCTCTCCTCGTTGGCCAACAATTCCTCCTCCGCCATAGCTTAGCAACTACGCTTTTTTTCTTTTGGTTCGGTGAAACTTTGTTTTATGTCAGTGGCAATATCGAAATTAGTGAGAGATAGAGGTGCAGAATGGGAAGAAGGGAACACGAGGCTTTATAGTAAGAGAAAAGAGAGAGAGAGAGAGAATGTGAGGAGGGGAAATGTAAAAGAGAGAGAAAGAGAGACGCGTGAGATGTGACGGATAGTTAGGCGCGTGGGAGAGCGAATCCTTTGGAATCACGGATCCCTCGCTTTTTTTCTTTTTTGTTATTTCTTTCCCTCTTTTTTTTAAAGCTTTTTCTGGTATTTATTTTTTTTTTATTTTCTAAAACAAAAATAATTTGTTTTGAAAACTTCCAGATGTCGCTTTCTAATTTTAAAAACATTATTAATCGGTTTGGATTCGGACTTGAGGTCCGGTCACGTTGCAGTGCACATGCCCAGTCAATTACGCCCTCTGGATATTTCTTTTCTTTTTTAACATGCCCTTCTTGATTGTTCTAAATTTTTGTTTCCTCTATAACTTTTTGGAAAATGTTTTTTTTTTGTTTTCTGAAATATCTCACGTAACTCAAACTTGGAATATTGATTTTTTTCTTATTTCATTTTTTTCTATATATGCATTAACCTTTTCAAGTATAACCTTCTCAAAATATTACCTTTTCAACATTTAATAGATAAAATTCTATTTTCTTGTTTGCTGTGAATATTGGAATGGCTTGAAAGATGTATTTTCTTATTATAGTCTTAACAAAAACAAATTAACTAACAATAAGATTTATTTATTAAAATGTTGGCTGGTCCTTAGCAGCCTAGATTCAACTTCATCTACTAAGGTACAGTTTACTAAAAAAAAAACAAAAACTAAAATAAAAGAAGATTATAGTGGCTAATATATAGTATATACATATAGATTATCATACAGTGTTACCCAAAACTTTTTGTCTATTATTTCTGTTAAACCATTAGTCCACTACAACTTTGTTTTTTAATAAAAAAAGACCATCGGTCCATGTGTGAATGCTTATTTGTATAAATCATATCCTTTATTTACACTAATCTGAAATTATCCCATCATCTTTTGAGACTTTACATGTAAACGAAATAATATTTATTGGTATAACTCCATTATTTTATCCCATGTTCATATTTTGATATGGTAGGACGCAGACAACATGTCCACTACGAGTTTGCTTGTCTCATATTTTCATTGGTCTAATTTCAAGAAATTTCATAGGAAAAAAAACGACAATATGACCACTTCCAGTTAAAAAATTCGGTTTTAATTCATGATATGCGAATGCTAATTTTTGCTAAAACGAGACAGCATTTTATAAATCTTTATCAATCAAGTACTTTTGCGGATAACTATTTAAATCCTTAATCCTTTGCCGCTCGGCAAAAAAAGCATCATTTACTTTTTTTGCAATACCAGGTTTACAAACAAAAAAACTTTAATCTAAAGGTTTTTCTATTTTTTTCAAATGATTTTTTTTAAAAAAATATTTAGATAGTTCTGTAGTATTACTAGTGGAAACCTCTATCGGAAAAGTAGGTCAGTTGAGAATTTTGAGTTTTGGAAGAAGGTGTGAGTTTAGACAAAGCTATTGTTTTAATTGGTGGGCAATAGACATCTTAGCATTGCCAATATACGTGGTTTAAGCAAAGTTGTGACTCTTCGTTATACATATATTTGTCGATCTATTACTTTCTACAAACTTTTCAATCGAACCATTACTTTTAAAAAAAGAATATGATTGTATTATCTAAGATGCACGTTTCTCCTTTTATTTTGGTAGGACTAGGACATTTCGAGCGGTCTAAATCAAACATATTGGTATGATTTTTGGTGGTAAATGACCTACGATTTATTTGCTAGTTATATAAGCCAGACCATACAGCATTATATATTTATATTCAATATCTATCGCACCAAAGTTTTTTTCCGTTTTAGGGAGTAATCAGAATTCATACGTCGAAATACATATCAAGTATTATCAACTATGGAGTTTCCGCAGCTTAGAGTTAACGTATAGTGGTTATATTATGCGTTTCGCCAACATTGATCACAAATATAGTACTTCTAAAGTTTATAGTTTTGACTCGTGATGAGATGTTTTTCAAATGCATTGATACTGTTATTTTATCGTCGACGACAGTAAAAAATTTAATTATCATCTTCAAAGGAATTTAGAACAAAAATATATATACATAGAGGCATAGAGCCATAAGTTATGAACGCAATTAAATATGAGGAATACTTATTTTACTTTTTAGGTATGCATTTGAACATGGTTTTCCTAGCTTTCCTTTAAATTCAATTCTTAAATAGAATATTTTTTTGTTAAAGAATTCTTAATATTCTATTTATATATATTTAAGTTTAAGAATATTATGACTCACCGAAACAATTTGTATGGAAACTAAATACCGTGTCAACCACTCAAAAAACAAATAGTTTTAACTTAATCACTCTAAGACTCGTAACATTTAAAGTGACTGAGTTTCAAAAAAAGAAAAAAATTTAGATGATTATAAGGAGCATAACGATTCCAACAACATATAGCACACATATCAGTATGTATCGATTCCACTAAATGCTAAAAGAAGCTCCAGTCACTAATTTTTCATTTTGTTATTTTTCTATGAATCATACACACTTACGCATAGATTTTGTTTAGAAGGAAACGTACAGATTATATACGTTTTATAAGAATACATACGTCCATAAGTGGGCCTTCAGAAACTGAATTTATATCGTGATATCAAAATGTTAGATGACAACAAAAGTAGGTACAGAAGACAATATGTACCTCTTCGGATATTTGGATGGTCTTAGTTCTTTATTCACAAATTATATATATATATATATATTACTTAAGTAAATGCGTATACGTAGGCATACATGTAGTTTCCGGCTCGTCGTGCAAATCATACACGTATCAAAAAATAAATTTCAATAAATCCAAGGTATTTTGTAAATAAATAAAAAGAATACCAAGGTCCACTACAACGTCTACGATCAATAAGTTGACACAGTAATATACTCAGCACGTATTTATTTACTTCGAATGTCAACTAAATTTTTTTTTGACATACTTAAAATTCTTTAAAACAGCATAGATCCTCAGATGCCTCCATGTAGATATAAAGTGATTTGAAAAAAAAAATAGAGTACGTATTTGGAAAAATAAATAAATACTAAAAAGTGGAGGTGGAGAATAATTGTGTTTTGTGAGTGGTAATGCGCATGTTGGAGGTGAAATATCAAACTGTGGACAGATTCAAATCTATCATATGTTTTAATAACATCATACCGTAGCATATACTATGATTTCATTTTTATATGATTGTTTTGTGATCTGGTTTTCGACCAAACCAGGTCCTGATCTTGACCAGCTTCTGTAAATATTTGTTTTTCTTTTGTTGGTTAATGAATTTTACATTTCAACCAAAAAAAAGCACTTGAAATATATATAAACTTATAAAAGACCCATTAACAATAACAACGCATCACGTGAGTACGAAGCAATCAAGTACACAGAACCTTACAAAATAAATTACGTGGTCCCCATCCAATGTTCCATATTTAAATTTCGTTAGAAAAAAATCCCATAATTTTGCTAAAATTGACAATTTCTTTTTCTGAGCTGGTGTATTTAAACTATATAATTTTCTGGTATTGACTTTTTTTTTCACCTACATATATTTGTTTGATTAATGCTGATGAAGTGCTTTGCCATTCAGATTCTAAGGGTGCCCATTCAATTGGATAACTAATAAGCGTTTGAAACTTTAAATGGTTAGGACGTATATTTAGGTGATTTTAGAGAGAGTTGTTTAAAACATCTTCAATGGTTGGCTCTATTTTTTGTTTTAAATATAGAGTTTCTCTAAAGATAGAGAAGTGCTTTACTCCAATGGTCATCTCTATATCTGACTCTAAAAATAAATATTATATTTTATTCTTTAGTATTAATTGCTGATAAAGCTTTCTAATTTTGAAAATTTATAAATGTTTTTTCTATTTTATTTTAAGTTAAAATAATTCTAAAATTTTAAAATATATATTGTTAATAAAATTTAAGTTAAAATAATTTTATAATAAGTTATTAGTAGTATAAATTAAATTTAGTGTAATATTATTACTTATATTATTGTTTAAGTATAAAATGAAAAGATGTTAAAACTAGAGGATTGTTTTGTAAATAAAAAAATTCTGCTTTAAAAATAGAGTCATGAACAGTGTTGCTCCAAATATAAAACAACACTGTTCATTTCTCTATTTATAGAGCAACATATAAGAGTATCATTGCAGTTCATTTTAATTTAAAAATAGAGTTTAGAGCAAAATATAGAGCACCATTGAAAATGTTCTTAGGTGTAAAAAGTGAATGTAGGTAATTTATAAAATATTTTTTTTTTAAAGTGGTGGTTGATGAACTTCCATGTGCCCACCAAATTTAGTACGGTATATAGCTGCATCTAAAACGTTATATAAATATAACTTAATTATGATCGATCTGAATTTAAATGCTAGTCAAATTAGTTGAAGTCAGCCGGAATGTTTTATACTCCGGCTAATGATATTTTTATTATTCTTCATTCATCGTTTTTGTTTCATTACACCTTAGGTTTCGACATTTCAAAGCTAAAACATATAAATATTTTCTCAAAAACTAACTCCCGTGTATTCTTGTGTAATTATAATTTTTTGGAAGAAATTATGAATGATACCTTTATTCATGAATCTTTTTTATTTGTTAAGCGACTTAACCCAACATAGGGTATTACCAGTTACAGTCCCATGTATATGCATGAAATTAACCTAATTTAAGTTTGAGTTTTTCCTAGAAAAGGTGAAAATGAGCTTCTTATTTTAGTTTTTTTTGGTATTTTTCGTTTTTTTTCTCTCACCAGAAAAAAAAAATAATCAGGTTTATTTGTTAATTACAAGAACCATACATATGATCATTTATTAATTACGTGATACTTGAGTATGTTCGATCCATAAAGCCCAAAATACATTTTATCCAACGTAACATCACAACACACACACACACAAAAATATCCCCAAAACGAATTATTATTCGTATGATAAAAAAAA